TGGGGAAGAGGGTGGGGGCGGAGGGGGGGGGAGGGGGGGAGGGAGGATGGGTTTTTTTTTTTTTTTTTTTTTTTTTTTGGAGAATAAGTGATCTTGTCGAGGCCGAAACTAGTCACACGGGGCGTAGCCTTGGCCATATTCTCACAGAGGAAAGGGCAACGGAATGGACGACAGGACGCAGACCAACAACCAAGGCGGTGTGTGCCCGTGGTGTGCTTACAGGCTGGTATCCGCTATAGCCACACTCCTCTCGGAGGGCATTCTCGTAGTGCCAGACATAGTATCGATGCCAAGGTAGGAAATAGGTCTGCAAGGGCAGTTAATTTCGCAACGGTTTCCATAAGGAGAGGAGATGATGACACTGGGAGGACTGACAGATCCATGGACAGCAGGTGTCTGCTGGATATGGACGACAACATAATCATCGAAGCGGCTCTTGGCTCCTGGTGCTCTTGCTGAAGTCTTGGCAGGCCTTGACTGCAAACATAGAACAGCTTGGATGTAGTCCTTGCGCTCTTCGATGGACAAGTCGCTCCTGGGGGAATGGTGAGCTTCAACACTTGAGATAAGACTGTTGCGTGTACATGTGAAGAGCCAACGAACCATTCTTTCCGCTTAACGGCCGTCTCAAGCGTGCATCCGCCGTTGGCGGGGTTCATGGACATATACTCCTTGAGTTTCACCATGCCATCCTCGGCAAGCTTGTCCACCACGTCGGGAGGGTAGATGCCAGCAGCGGACAGGCCAAAAAGCAAGGCCAAGGGTCCAATGGAAGACAGAAGCATCGTTGTGCTCTTGCAGGTACACACTCCGCTAGGCAGTAGTCTGACGGCTATGGTGGCGGCCACGGCGGCGAGAGAGGACAAGAAAAAGGTGCTTCGACAAGGACAGGTGCCCGGACAAAGAAATTATCTCGAGACTGGACGAGATATATGGGCCCCGGCTCCCGGGAGGCCAAGCGCACGATTCTTCATCAAGGTATCTCCTACGCACAGTCTGCCCATGTCACCCTGTTCCGTGCTCGTTTAGTCGCGGATACCAAACAGAACCATATTGGATCCCAGGTCCAGGAAGCTGAGCACATTTTCCGGGGAGGGCCCCAGGCAAGATCAATGCTTTTGATTACGGGCAATACCATTTCTGGGAATGCGGGAACGTCAATGTCAGGGGTCCGACCGAACGTGGCATGAGGGTTATGTGCATGGGAGAGACGAGCAGCCGCGTGCCTGTGCTGGCTGCCTGATTCAGCACGATGGAGTGGGAATGGCCATCTGCCGTGATGCTGTTGAAAATCAAATTAGATGAAATTCAATATCCGGGTATGGAAGCAAAATCTGGAGGGTTCTTGGCAACGTGGGCGCTTCAAGATGCAGCGTCCCATTTCCAAGAACAATCCCGAGCAAATGACTGACTGATGCTGCTGGGTCAGGTAAGGAAGGCACCCAAACACCCAACCCAACCCCATGCCATTGCATGCGGCGTCGGCTTTCTCCTCCGGCGGCTCGCCAAGCTGGTGCTTCCTCCCAAGGCTGGCCAATGGGATGTGCAGGACTCACGTCGCATGTTGGAACAGAACGACACACTCTATGCCGGCGAACATCATAGCCGAGGCGGTGCTGCCTTTGGGTGGCTATCTTGGAGGCGGAGGAGAATGTATATAGGTAGTTTCCTTGGCTCGCCGGCTCCTGTTGGCGCGAGAGGAGTCTGGCTCGTCAAGTTGTTTGGTAGAGATGGGCTCTGTGGACCTTGTGCTCTCGTGGAGAGGCCTTGAAGGGCTTCAAAGGGCTTCCAAACCAGATGAGACCCCAGCCAAGTGGTCATTCCTTCAAGCTGGTCGATGCAAGCTTGCATCATCTGATGCCAGCATCTGCTTTGCTGGCATTCATGGACATTAGACTCATGCTAGAGTGAATGGATGGTTGTGGCTTCTCCCTGGCCACCCAGCAGTGCCAGCACGCACCTCGGCGATGAGCCGGACAGAGGCAACAGTGAACCTCAATTGGTGGCTCCTTTGAAGGTATTGGCGGTGAGCTCTTTATTCCAGAGGGTCTGTAAAGGCACTCTAGTACACGTGATGCGCTAAGGTTGCCCAGTTGCCCTGGATATACAACAATTACAGTGAACCTTTGGGTAGTTTGGTAGTGCTCGGCTCCAGTTTTGGAGGAGCAAAGCTACTAACTACCCTTACAGCCAGGGGTGGACAATGCACGCCCTGTACAAAAACAGGAGCAAAAAGAAAAAAAAGACGAGGATCCGGTCACCATCTTTCCTCGTCTCGCCTTCACCTCCTCTTTCCCGTCACCTCCACATATCCCCGAGAGCAGGGCATGGGCTTCTCTTCGCCGTCCATCCTGTCGCAGAGAGTTGGATATGGGAACTTGGGAACTGCCAGAACTGTCAAGACCAAGAGCATAGGATTGGACCAGCGTTGTTCTCACTCTCTCCACCACGGAAGAGGAGACGGTCTTCAGCACCGGCGGCACCGGCAGCACCAGCAGCTAGGTCGGGCCTTGGACAGCTGGTTCTGTGTCACTGCCCAAGAACCAAATCTACAGAGTAGATCATTGGGCTGGCCCAGCAGGTTTGTCATCATTGTCCGCTGTTCCCTCGCTGGTGCCTCCCGCTGACCTTTCAAAAGGCCTCTCTTCCCCGGCCAACTTCTCTCCGACCCTGAACCCCGAACCTCGTGGCAAGCTTCCAGACACGAATGCCACCATGCTAAGCGATAAGGATCTCGAGCGAGCTACGAGCCAGCTGGCCGACTACCGCCGCAGCGATGCACTCACCCAGATCCTCGAGCAGTACTCTACGCTGCTGGAGGACTATAGACGTCTGAGGAGCGACTACGAAGAGGAGCGTGAGGCCAGGGAGAAATATAAGCAGCTCGCCCGGGGCCAGGAGCGCAATCCTTTTGTGCTTGTCCTGGTTGATGGCGACGGCTACGTACTGCACGACAACTTCATCAGCAAGGGTGCCGATGGTGGAAGCAGCGCCGCCAAGATGCTCAACGAGGCCGTCAAGACCAGCTTGCGGCACAAGGGCCTGGAGCATTGCCAGGTCATGGTGCGAATCTACGCCAACGTTGCCGGCTTGTCAAAGGCACTCCATAAGGCAGGTGTTGCTGGGGCCGAGAAGCGTTCCATCGCACCTTTTATAGCCGGCTTCAATCGATCGTACGGCCTGGCCGATTTCGTCGATGCCGGCGAGCTCAAGGAGAACGCCGACTTCAAGCTCCGGGCTCTGCTGCACCTCTATGCGGAGAATGCGCAGTGCAAGCACATCTACTTTGCAGCCTGCCACGACGTGGGATACATCTCCGACCTGACGCCACATACCGGCAACAGCTCCAGGTTCACCCTCGTCAGCGCACCGGGCGTCAGAGTGCACAACGAGTTTACCAAACTGGGCATGGGAATCGAAGAATTCCCTGGTGTCTTCAGGCACGAGCACCTAGAGCCGGTCTCGGCACGCCCCACAGCCGTCTTCGCTTCGGCCAAGGTGTCGACGAGCCACTCTCAAAAACCCTTGGCGGTAGATACCTCGGAATACGCTCTACCGCCACCCGGCGCGGACAGCCAGAAGGCCGTCTGCCAGTTCTTCCCACTGGGGAAGTGCAGATATGGGAAAGATTGCAAAAACCTACATATCGCCAAAGACCGGGCAAGCATCAATGCAACATGGAGATCGGCGAGCAACAATCCCCAATCGGATGCCACCGACCGCAAGAGCCGGCCCGCTACAATATTCGACGCAGACTCCAAAAATGACTACCATAATAGGCCCAGTCCACTCGGAATCCCTGTCACCCATAAACTACCCCGAAAGGACGCCATTCCCGACGGCTTTGTCGCCGTCAACAAGAACAATTATCGCCTCGACCCCTTTATCCCGCCCTGTAGCGCTGAGGCCCTCAACGGGCTCAAGTCACGCAGCCGCGTGTGCAACAACTTTCAACTGACGGGCTTCTGCGAACATGGCGATAAGTGCCCGTATAGCCACGAACCCCTTGATGCCGAGACCAAGCGAGCACTGGAGGCACTCGCACGGTCAATGCCCTGTTCAAAGCGCGGCGACTGCAGAAACAGCGCTTGCACCATGGGACATATCTGCCAGAGGCTCGATTGTAAGCACCGTGGTGGCAAGCTCTATTGCAAGCTGCCCTACCTCTCTCATCTGGAGGACTTGGCGGTGGAGAGCTACGTCCCTGCTGCCAGGCCCTCCTACAGCCGACGACCTACACTTTCTAATGGTAGCATCATCGGGGACGACGATAGTCGCCGCCTGTCACCCGTCGTGAGCGACGAGGGCGAAGAGCGGTTCAGCTTCAGCGAGTTCAATGGCGCGCTGATCGACAGTGATGACATACTCCGAGGCAGTCAGCCTGACTCGCCTGAATGAAACGAGAAAACAAGACCCTTACTGGGAAGATCGAAGACAGCCCGTCCAGTCGATTCATGGAACGGCCCGGCCTTCGCTGCCCTGAGAACATCTCCAGGGCGGTAGATGTAGGTAGACTGCACGACGACTGAGCACCTAGATTTTGAACTGCAGAGAGCATATGAGCACTCGTGAGCCTCTGAAGATAATACCCATTATGGGAGAGGAGGCACCGCTTGCGCGAGGCGCCGCTCATATCTCAATTGCTAAAGTAATATTACATGACGATATACCCCTTGTGGTGCCCTCTCTGTGTGGAATGACATCTTCGACATGCAGTGCCATGGTAGGGCCCAAGTGACACGACTATGGGACAAACAATAAATTGACTGAAGATGACTAGAGAAGAGACCGTGTTCCACTGGGCCTGGACACAGGTGAGGAAACCCCAAAGATATCATTCGCTTTTCTACATTACTGATTAGGTCTATGTTATGCATGCATGACTGCTCTGCAGACAGTCTGATATCCAAGCATGCACATGATTCGCAACACCAATGTCTCATCGCAGGCATTGCACCATCGTCCTAAAGAGGATACCAAGGACCACAGAGACCACTTTCACCCTACCAAGTCTATAGACGAGTCGGGCCGTTGGGGATCACGAGCTCCATTCACCTGCGCCGGGGTATGGCCCTCGTTGGGGGTAGGGTCTTTGTACAGTCTGTGAGGGCATTTATGTTGTTGACACCGAGAAGACTCATGCGGAAGTAAGCCGGAGCATATGCCTATAGTGACTTTGTTAGAACCATCTGACCGACTGACGCGTGGTATCCGCGGTGTGTGATGTATGTAATACTTACCCTGGACCAGTTATCCTGTCCGGCTGGGCCAGTAAACTGGTTCCAAGTGCTCGACGTCTCAGGGCTGCTGGCAAGGTTCAAGTCACTTGGGAACTTGAACACCCCACTGGGAGTTTCGGGATCAACCGTTTCGGTGTAGAAGTTGTTGTCCCAAATTCCTGCTGTGGTGTCCTGCGAGGCGCCGGCCTGCTTTTGGTCAACAAAGAACTGCTGACTGACTGAATGAGCGCCCACCAAGGCAATGAGGTCTGCGCCGGTGAACGTCTTGGCCTGGAAGAGATCGATCAATGCCTCCGCGGTCTGGAAGGGACTGGGCATAAGACCCGTGGGTGCTGCGCGCGTGCTGTCCTCGCGGCCAACGAAGAACCGGATCCGGGGCCCCCCCGGGCAGGCAGTGGTAGCTACCATGGCTCCAAACTGAATCATGTCCGCCATGCTGACATTGTACGCCTCGTACTCCTCCTTCCATTGAAACATCTGAGAAGCAATGCCCTCCAGCCCCGCATTCTCCGACCGCAGCATCTCGTTCGACAGCAAGATGGAGCCGTCGGCACCGCCAAACGACAAGTCCGAGCTCCATGCACCGGCGTCATGAAAGCCGAGCCGGATAGCTCCCCTGGCCAGCGCGGAACATTCCTCGCCCTCGTAGAACGCGTCAACCATGTCGTTCGCGATATACTGCCAGATGCAGCAGGTGTCCCTCCTACAATCATCCGAGTCTTTGGGTGGGGGATCATATGTGGCAGCATCAGCAAAGGCGGAGCGGGTCCCATTGAGGATGGATTTGATTTCAAACCCGGTGACCGTGAGGGCGCTCTCGACGGTGTGGAGCAAGTCACCGAGAAGAGCTGTTGAGCGAGTTGCCAGTTTGTCCTGGGCACGGGCTGCTTCGGCGAGCTTCTTGGCCAAGTCGGGATGGCCATTGACGAGATCGGTAGCCCCCAATACCAGGACTGTAATGAAAAAGCGCATTTCCACAATCGGGCAGAGCGAAGCGAGGGACGAGGCAGAAAGAAGGCTATGGCAATGCGAAGGTAACAACAGTCGACAAGACGGCCATGCAACAGACACCCCTACACCAGGCCGGAAGAGAACATTTTACCAAGATTCTGACGGAGAGACCACGAAGTAGTTCATATACCAACTCATCGCGTCCCTATCGCGGTAGGCAGACAGCTGTGCTAGATGCTTCAGTCACCCAACAGATGCGTCGGCCAAAGGTTGGTTGGTTCGAGGTTTCAGAGTAAGCAACGATGGACAATGCAACCAGGGATCACAACGCCACCACAACCCTCCTCCGGGCGCTAGAGAATCCAGGCCTGCAGCCATTCACAACGTCGGCATTACCAGAAACTTGAAAGCGCGAGGACGCCCCTGTGCGCAGAGGATGCCAGTCGATCGGTTGAGCTTCACAGGGTCATCGCAAGAACTGTGCCGAGGTCCAATGCATTACTACAGCTCGAGTGCCGAGATTGCTCGATCACGGCATAATGCAAGAGGTGAGGCAGTGGAAAGAAGACATGCACATGGGAAAACGAGTCCGGCTAGGCCGAAGGCGAGGCCGGAACCTGCTTGAACCCGCTTGAACCCTTCCCGCCATCCAGTCGGGCGAGGGCAGGCGGGTGAATATGCTTTTGAACTAAGACCAGCCTCGGAGTTACAGTAAAGCTATTTTTGGGCCTATCGAGCGGCATTGGCTGGGAGCCGCTGAGCCATGTCTTCGCCGGCCGCGCTACCGGATGTCCGAAGGGCGAGCATCCCGGCCACCGAGAAGGAGGACCGGCAACTTCAGACCCCATTTCTCATTAGTTCGGTACAGCAGAGAATCTGTTGATGGCAGACCAGACAGCAATATGATCTTTGGTAATGTAGAGTCCGTGGAATGAAGTCCAAAAGTCAGATAGGGAGGCAGCTAGCATTGGTCCCGAGGGACGCCGGCAGGGTTCCAGTTCCCCAACTGGTCGTGGTATGTACGTTTCAATGCACGCTCTAGGGGCAATCCGGGCGTTGTGAAAGCATGGTCAGGCCCGCTTCTTCTTCCGAGACTAGTGCACCAATTGCATGCATGGTGAATCGTCTACAATATGCATGACAGCTTGCGTGGCAAGCTTTGCAATTCGAGAAACGGACCACGATCTCGACGACACAATCGGATCCAGCCACTTCCTCGCCCGGGCGGCAAGCGTTTTCGCGTTTGCGGGCTTCTGGATTCTGCAAATGCAGGTCCCCGTCCTGGTTGTGGCACTGGTAACCTCTCGACGGTGGTTGGCTTTTTGCCCTTCTCTTCGTATATGTAGTGGTGCTGTCACACTCACCCGCGCACTCTCCATCCCAACAGTTTTTTTTTCCCCTAACCTGGCTCTTATGGAACGATGCCTGCATGCAATGTGCACCTCGGTCTAAGTATATAGCTCTTCTAGACTCAATGTCGTCACGACAGCATAGGGTACTTGATCAAGTCTCCAGCAACAGACTATCTCGATCCTCATGAGCCTGATTAGTGTACCGTACATGTGTGAAATCTGAACGCCACTGTCGGGGGTCTTTCTTCTTTCTTTTAAGCGCCCGAGACGCCGCTGGCTAGCCCTCGGGGAAGATGTATAGATAGGGCAATTCCTCCTCGCAAGCTTTGCCATGGCTTCCAACAGCACCTCGAGGGCAATTGGTAGAAGCCCCGGAGTTTTGGGGTACCAACAAGTCTGGGCGAGGTGACTGACTTTCCTTTATCACACTAGCTGGCTTCCCTGCATGCACGGTACGCTTGGAACGGCCGAAGGTGGCTACGATAACGCTCAGCACACGAGACTGTGGTGGTCAGGTAACTATCGAGGCATGTGCCGAAAGAACACTCGGCCGTGTATGGACGCATCTTCTGCGCTACGCAGAGCTGGCCATTACTCGGAAAACCCCGGGTCTTGTGTATGATCAATGGATGCACGTGCCAGGCGTGGCATCTATCCGACTATATTTTCGTTGTACTCACTCATTCGCGATGCTCTGCATGAAAGGACGGTCGAAGAAAACTATGTTGCTAGCTATTTATCTTGTCACCCGACGAGTAGTATGTTTATCACCACGAACAAATTCACATGCGTAGGATGAGTCAATATTATAGTCAGAGTCTAATAGGAGACTCCCTGATCAGGGGGCTTACATTGAGAATGGTCGGAAGCAGAGGATTCAAAATACATGGACACAACCCTACGCCCCAGACGTCTCAGATCCAACTCAGGAGGCCTGTGTGACCCAGAGTAAATGTCCGACTTGGATCTCACATATCTTTGTTGTATTGACGATGTTCTGACACGCCATGGCTGCGGAGCAGCAGGAACCGCCTTGGTATTCTACGACCCGCGCGCAAGATTCGCACGCGCTATATGTACATTCATTGCGAGTAGAGGGAGCACATATGTCGGCCAGATACTGGAGTACATTTCTGAATAGTGACGAGCGCTGGACAAGTAATTGGGTTGGGACAGCTAGGGGAGATGCTAGGGAGTTTTCATCGGACATGAGGTAGCCATATAAGACGCTTCTGTTCCTTGGTCGAGCTCTGCAAAGATCAATCAGGGCCCCAACCGGTTCCTCTCCCCAATGAAAGCGGCCACTGCCAACTGTCTATCCTTATTTTCATTTCCCTGTTCCCTTGTCTGCTTGGTTGAATTGAATCTCTCTTATAGGTATGAGATATAAACATCTCCTCACTCGCCATGGAGTCCTACTGTATTAGCTTATTCTGAAACTGCTCTAGCCAAGAAGCCCGGTGATTTACTCATATCTCTAGAAAGTTCCAGACATTCCCGCCCCCTCTAAGAGGTGATCAAGAGGTTCACGCCACTGTCTAAGCCTAGAGGTTATTAATATATGCTATCGCTATGGGGATGCAAGAGAGGAGCAGTAGGAGAAGTAAGAGACAGAGGGATAAACGCTCTCTTGCAGAGCGATTGATTTTCTCATGAATGTTTCCCCGAGAAAGGTTGATTTCTGGTCATCACACATAGTTGCCTATAATCTAGTAACTACCAACCCTTAACCCTTCTCTAGGAAGGTACAAGTACCTGCTCTCCCTCTCCTCGCTTCTCGGACAAAAGCTTCGATCTATCCCTGCATTTCATCCCATCCCGTCCTTCTCACACCACCCCAATCCTTCTTCACATTCAACTTGATACACACCCAGTCAGATTTACCTAGGGACAGAACTGTATAGCTTCATCTTACCCCTGGGATTTAAAACCTGGATGTTACTCTCCTGCCAATTCTCAGCAGGGGGTGCAGTCTGCTCGCAACAGTTGCCCAGGACGGGCAATCAATTACCAAGCCGCTCAACTTTACTGAAATAAGCCCGACGGTGCCACGCCTCACCGACCAAACCCGTTGGGGCTTGGACAACATCGACAACCATATTCATCGCGGATGCGTTTGAAAGCCTGTTCGGGACACTCAGCGCATGGGAGCCTCGCGGTGGCTTGGTCTTCGATATCAGTGTCTACTCACCAGGCGGGAACCAGCATTGGTTCAAGTACCTCGGCTTCTAGTCAGACACCTACCTAGGCGAGGGGCCTTTCGACGACCAGGGGCCTGAGATGCAGTGGTGGCAGGGTCTCCCATTCGTCCCCCAAACACGTTTTGATAATCTACTTCCGCAGCCGCCGACCAACTAGGATACAGATACTGATCGAATCCTTTGGCAAGACGCAATTATTGGTCAGAGTAGTTGCCTGGCTACTAACAGAAGTACTTGACTATCCATTCAGCCCATCGGTCTTGAACAGTGGTATGGCCATTCCGAGCTCCAGTGAGGATACGGTAAGGATACATGTGTCTATAGTTGAGTTGAGGTAAGGGCTGTATATCCCGATGAACTTCTGTCAACTGCCTACCTTACCTATACGTACATTACATTAAGGTAGTAACTCGGTGTCTGATGCAGCAATTGATTCCGAGGCCCGCCTGCCAGGTGCCAGCCACGTGGTGGTGGTAGTGGGCGGTTTAGGTGGGTGAAACCCCGCCGGCCCCTCACCGAAAATACCAGTTGGACAGCCTCGACAGCTCCCTGGCAGCTGTGGCAGCTGGGATCCGTCACCGTTTTAGGACGACTTGGAAGAAAGCGCTTGGGCAATCACAGTCGGCCTACTTAGGGTCCAGGCTGTAACTACCAGCTTGCATCCATCCCCTCAGTCTTGGCCTGGACATCTACTTGTATCTCCCGCCTTTTTTTTTTTTCTTTCTTCCTCCCCCAATTCTGCAGGGGGCCATCAGCAGCCACAGGCACGAGATTAGATTGAGGGAAGAGGGAAGGCAAGGTCAGCAATTGGGACCCCGCCATTTTCTGCCGTTTCCAAGGTTGCGACTGGCGCGGACTCCGGAGCTCCATCTTTTTTTTCCTCTCGCTCCATTTCAGCGACCTCAGCCGCCGCCGCCGACCGTCGCCGCCTCCGTCACATCATCATCACCACCACCACCCTTGCCGCCGTCTTCCTCCTGCCAGACAGCACCTCAGACAGAGGCAGCTCACCCTCCCGGCCGATCGCAGCAATCCCGAAAGTGGGCTCGTTTCCCGTGCCCAAGCAATGGAATGATAGCACAGTTGTCTATTTGATTGTCCCGGTCGTCAGGGGAGGAGCTGCGACGACCCGTCCGTTTGGTCACCACGTCTCCTCTAAGCAGACAAACAATAGGCTCTACCTCCCGTGCTAGGGCTCGAATTCTGCGTGAGTCTTCTCGGCGCCTGTTCTTCCTCGATCTTACTTGTTGTTCACCCTCTCACGAGACGATCAGCCAGAACTGATCCGTGTTTGAAATCCCTCTCATCTCTCTAGTCTACAAACGTCGTCGTCGTCGCTCTTGACTCACTCTCGGCTTGCTCCTCTTCACCGCTGCCCCCCAGCTCTCGGTAATACATCTCCAGTGAGCTCTTGTATCGACTTGTGTTTCGTCGATATGGCTTCCTCAACCCGGAACCCCAGCTCGGCGCAGCCCCTACAACGCCAGACTCGTCCGGTCATCATTCCCGCCATCCCTCTCCCATATGTCCAGCAGCGTCAACCGAAGCAGTCCTCTCATCACCGTAACTTGTCTGCTTCGCGCCCTGAAGCTCAGAACCTGGCCCAGACCTCCAAGAACCCTTTGGTCGCTGAGCCTCTGGCAGAACAGGCGGTGGAGCGCTCCGCTCATCGAGACGAGCAATACCTCAACGGCTCGTCAGCCCCAGCTGCCGGGCAAGACCCTGCCATGGAACCACACCAGAACGGTTTGCCCCCCCCGCCTTCTCGGCCTCAGCAAGGCATCTCTAGCAGTAAGCTTCGCTCATCTGCCACGGGCCCCGTACGTACAGCTTGTGCATACCGGCAGACCAGCTAACGTAGAGCGATAGATGATCCGATGACCTCATCCTCCTCGGATGCCATCGCACCCACCCACCAGCCCGCCCATGGTCCGACACATGCCCCTCCCGAGGGTGACGATACGACTGTTCTGCCAATGCCGCCCCCCAAGGCCGCGCCACGAGCCCATCAACAGACACAACCACCTCATCCTCACCTTGTTTTCGATGCCGTCCACGACTCTAACAATACATCTCCTGCGCCACTCTCGGGCGGCAGCTTTGTCCAGCCCGCTCCGCCCACGGCCGGCGCTCCGTACTGGCAAATATATGCTTCCGGGTCTGGCATGGAGTATTGGCCTCACCCGGTGCAGCAGCACCCCTCTGGATCGGCCAACGGATACCACCCCAGGCAGGGCCCTGTATTTGATCCTTCCAGCCCGCACAGCATCCCCAGCTCCGACAACGCCCGGCAGCAGAGCCCTACACCTAATGGATACGCGCCGCTGGGTCTGGCCAATCCTTCTCCCCAAAGGGATGTGCCGCCATTCGATCATCGGCCTTCATTTCCTGACATGGCTCCGCTACACCAGCTCCTGTCGACTGTCGCACGCGGCTGGAACAATCCAGAACTCGCTGACTGCATGGTGGCCTTTCATATGCTGAGGCCTCAAGATTGCCGCGCTCGACAAGACGACGGCTCTGTGCCGGGTGCGAAGCACCTGCAGATCCATGGACACCGCTTGCTCCTCTCGCAGAGCCCTCGCCTGCAGCAGCTATTCCACGCCGAACCCGGCGAGGACCGTCGCGTTAGCAGCTTCAGCCACTGGATTGTCGACAGGTACCTCACGCCCGATGCCCTCATCATTGCTCTCCAGAGCCTGTACGGCATCCCTCCTCCACCACTCCCGGCGATCAAGGGGGACGTGGCGTCGCAGACGTACGTCTTGCACACGGCGTTGGCCTTGGCAGCCGCTGGCCAGAGTCTTGAGCTGCCGTACCTGAGGGACATGGCGATCCAGGAGGCGCGACATTTTCTGAACTGGGAGAATCTCGAGCTCGTCTTGGACTTTTGCCTTGGCAATGCCGAGCATCTCTACCCACCGTCAATCTCTGGCAACGATCGTGGCTATGCCCCACCGGAGCCTTGCACCGAAGCGCATTTCAACTACGGACCGTTGGCCCGCATGTTGCTCATGGACGTTGCCATCTTCGTGTCAGACCACTTCCCCCCGGCTTTCGTCCTGGACACAGCCATCGCGGACCCTACATATGCCCGCATCCCGCCGCTCGCCGGATCGGCATTAAAGAACAATCTCCCTGAGCGGCTCGTTGCGGAGCAGGATAAGGCATCCAGCCGGTTGATCCTCCACGGCGCATCCCGCTCCGTGACCAATGTTCCGCGTCATGCTAGTGTTCGCAGCATCCAATTCGGGGACCTGTCACCTACGGCTGCCAACGGCGAGCCTGAGAGCGTGGGTGTGGGTGTGGGCGTGGGCCTGGATGCGAAAGTCAACGGAGGTGGGCCTGAGGGTGCAGCACCCTCACAAGCGGGCAACAGCAGAACTTGGGTCTTGTCGCGGATTCTCCTGAACCTCCCGTTCGACTTCCTCCGAGTGGTCCTCGAGAACCGCGACCTCGGAGCGTCGGCGGACTCGCAGCCCCTCTCTCACCGGAGGAGGGTGGTGGCTGAAGTTATAGCAGCACGGGAGCATCGTCGACACGCTGCGCTTGAAGCCGTCCGGTCTAGCGGTGTCGGTGAGACCAGGACGCTCGTCGAGCGCTTGAAGCGACACGGGCCGTCGGGAATGCCGGACCTCTGGGACGGTCTCTGCTGGCACGAGAGCTTGGTCTCTGGCAACAACGACCCCCCTCTTCTGACCCGGCAATGGGTTCCTCTCCCATCTGAGGGAACGTGATCTTCCTGGGCTGTGATGACACTGCTGCTACTGTATTTCCATTCCTCCATTTTCCTCGACGGCTTCCTCCTTCTCTACGAGCCCTGGCCCCCATCGAGCCGCTCGTGTTGAGCACCTTGGGGTCCGGGTCCAGTGTTTTGTGATTACAATCGGCATTGTGCTTTTTTGCGGCATCGGCGTTGGCATCGGGGCATTCTGGAACTTTGATCCGTGCAGCACGGAAGGGCCTGGCATCTCGGCGACGACTCGGCAGCCTGCAAATAGGTGGCCGCCAGGCCGTCCGGACGAGAGAGCGGCAGTTTCAGTCATGACATGTCTTTTTTCTCTTTTTTCTTTTTTATGGATTGAATTTAGCGATCCAGCAGCTGCACAGAAAATGTCGAGCCGGGGCTGGGCAGTTAGATTACGCAGCAATTTGCGAGTCAGAGATACCTACCTACCTAGGTACCTAAGCCGGCTCGGGTCAGCGAGATGACCTATTTACCTTACCTCGAGCTGCGGCGCACAGAAGGGAGGGATCCGGAACGGAGCAGGCACGGAGGGGAGCAGAAGAAAAAAGAGAAGGGATATGGTTCCTTGTGACGACTTTATTGATATCTGGGGGGTTTGATCGCTGCAATACCCGCCTGGCCTTGCTATTCTGGAGACAACAGGTAGAGAGAGGCCAGAGTCTTGTGAGGTTCGGTTCTGTTTGTTTTGGTTCCCTTTTTCCCCTTTGCGGACGTGGGAACAATGGGAGTTGGGTCGGCCATGGAAAAGTCGTGCTATCACAGCCAAAACAATGATCAAATGAAGATGCTCTAGAGACAATCGACAATCGACAATCGACAATTGACAATCGGACCATTACCATTTTGCATGTGAATGTTGGGGATTTGCAGAGGGGCCCAATTTGAAGACTCGGGCCGGGCCCGGCCCGGTACCGGCTCGCCAGATTACCTAGCTACCTAGGTACTTCATTACTCCGTAAGGTACATATAGGTATAGTATATCATGATACCTTGACTGCGCATGCCGTGCTGGGGGAAACGAGACAAAAAGAGATAGAGAGACATGATCTCGAGAAGTCTACGGAGCTGTTGTTGTGGGAGTCTTCGCTCCTTGTCGGGACACTTGCTGAGCTTGGATGAGTCGGCCGGCACTAAAAGAGAGGGTGGATCGGGGTTTATTGATCAGTACAATGTGACGTTATGCCTTGGAGATTGGACCTACAAGTACAAGTACTTGTACTGTTTGCGGAGGTGGGGTCGCTAATAAGGGCCCTCCTTTCCACAATGTTGGGGTTGGAGCTTGGAGCCGAGGCTCCCTAATGTTCACATTGAAGCGTAGTGGAGGTGCTGCCACAACAGTGCTAGCAAGCTACTACGGGGCGCGTCATGGCGCTCTCTAGTGCTGGGGGGAGCTGGGAGCTGGGCCCAAAGCTTCCACTTCGGTAGATGCAGTAGTTAGTGGAGGTGCTAAAGTACTAATTGCAAGCACGTGCAAATGTCACAATTAATCGACCTCTAGTTATCGATGTCCCCCCCTTCTTCCATCCATTCCATCGTCCCTCTTAAATCAATTGCATTCCATCGCGTCTGCCTCTGCTCTCCAGCACACATACGTATCCGCATACACACAACCCTGTCGCGTAGCATACATTGTTCTGCGCTTCTTTGCCCTTCTGCAAAGAACTCGCCAAAAAGATTCCCACGAGGACTCTTGGGCATCATCATCACACGAGTTCATGACGACAGACGTGGACCAAGACCGACGACCAATACTACTTTCGATAGCAAAGCCTGCCCTCCGGTCCCTCGAGCATCAGCCACACACACCATCGCGTCTCGAAGGCGGGGGCGCATCTCTTTCAATAACCCCCTCCCAAACGAGATGCCCGGGACGACGTAGCCATGGCCTCCTCCGCGACTGCTTCCCCGGCCTCCCGGCCTTCCGGCGCGCCCCGGGCCGCCGCAAACGACCCCATCCTCCGCAACGCTCTGCGCTACACCATCTCGGCCCGCGAATATGCGGCCCTGCACAAGTACGTCCTCTCGCGCTCGCGCACCATCAAGAAGCGCGCCCCCACTGTCGAGACAGTCACGCGCATCATGAACGGCGATGGCCCTTCCCCAGCAAGGACGACGCCCGTTTCCAAGGACGCCAAGGGCAAGACCAGGGAAGTCGAGGGCCTCATCCGAGCGCCCGGGCGTGCCGCCAGCGCAGTGGGCGCCGACGACTATAATGCGCGCGCCGTTAGGCACTCGGTCCGCGTTTTCGTCGCCACCGGCGTGGCCATGAAGCTGTGGACATCCGTCATGCGCCGTCTCAGCGGCAAGACGCCAGAGTGAGTATCGCAGCCCGGCTTCCTCCACCCCCCAAACCTCCTGTTTGCCCCGGCTAACGTGGACTCACCAATGTCCCCAGTCCTTCCGAGAAGAAACCCTTCTACAAATCGCCTACGCTGCGCCTGTCTCTGTCACTGAGCAGCATCCTTCTCCTCTATCGCCTTCTCTTTCGCTTCTTCACTCGCCTCAGACTACACGTGCTCAACCCTTCCGCCGCACCCTTCCGCCAGCGCAATCCCCGTGTCGCTGACACCCTGACCTCGCCCTATGCTCCCGCTGTGGGTGCCTCACTGGCCGGCCTGGCCTTGGGCATCTACCCCTCGCAGCAGCTCCGCGTGTCTGTCGCCATCTACGCCCTCTTCAGAGCCCTCGAGTTCGGCTGGAACGTTGCCGAAGATGGCGGCATGATCTGGGGCTGGGAGAAAGGCGGGAGGATCAAGAAGCAACGGCCCTGGTGGTGGGGTAGTTGGATGCTGCAACCCTTCGCTTTCGGCCAGCTGTTGCACGCCGCCGTCTTCGACCGCGATTGTTTCCCCAAGCAGTACGGCGATTTTATCTTTGGCAGGACGACTGCCTATCTACACTCTAGGCCCTTGGACTATCCCGCCAATCTCAAGTGGCCTCGGACCTACGATGTTGTCGACGGTCTCGCCCAGATGGCCAAGCTTCATTGGCCGTAAGTCTTGCGCCCTTCTTTTACCCCCCCCCCTCCCTCCCTTCCTTTGCGCGGTGTGCAGAGAGAGACACACGAAATGGAGCTAACATGACCCTCGCGTCTCGACAGGCCATTCATCTCTCCGACTCTGTTCCCGAACAAGGAGGCGACCCTCCCGGCCGCCCTCTCGGCCATGGCCCCGCTGACCAACGGCGCACACCCTCTCATCACTTCGCTCTCGTGCGCGACGCTGCATCCGTCAGACCCTTCGTGCGTACGGACGTACCTCACCTTCTGGCTCCAGACCTTCCCGCCCCTGGGCCGCTTCTTCCTCATCCTCTTCTCGGCCCTGCAGCTGCCGCGCTTCCGCAAGCTGTACAACTTCCCCGTCACGACGCTCAACCGGGTCGTTGCGCGTGCGCTGCGCATGAGCACCTTTGTGACGGGCTCCATATCGACGGCGTGGGCCAGCATCTGCTTCTTCCAGGCGTGGCTGCCGCGGCACGTGCTGGCCACACAGCGCTTCTTCCTCGGCGGCTTCCTGGCGGGCTTCTGGGCCTTTATCGAGCGGCGGCAGGGGCGCGGGGCCTTTTTGTACAGCGCGCGGGCCAGCGTCGACAGCCTGTGGAAGGTGGGCGTCAAGCGCCGGTGGTGGCGGGCCATGAAGGGCGGCGACGTGTGGGTCTTTGTCGCGGCCCTGATGCTCACGGGCGTCGTCTACGAGCGCGACGCCCGCGCCGTCCGCGAGGGCAGCTGGCGCAAGGGCATTAGCTGGGTCCGCGGCGAGGGCTGGAGGGACTGGAGCGTCGACGACGAGGAGGGGGCCATGGAGGCCGTCGACGCCGACGATGCCGCCGAGAGAGAGCTGTAGTCTTGGCGTGCGGCCGAGCTGGGAGGGGTGGCGGTGTGTGCGTCTGAGAAAGCCCGCTTGCAGGGCGGAATGCGACCACTTGCTTTTGTCTTCTGTCGGTTCCGCTTTGTTGTTTCTCTTTTGGCAGGAAACTGGTGATGGCAAGCGTTGGTGAATTCCGAGTTTATTTTACGACGTATTGAATAATGTTTGTTTTTTTTCCCGTGGGAGGAGGATAGGGGGACCAAATTGTCTCATCGTTTACGGACTCGCATTAAAACATGGTTCACCTCAGCCTAGCTAGTCCGTCAAGGTCAAGATGATTGTTGCGCTTCTAGCATCAACGACTAATGATACATGGGAAAGGCTATCGTAACTACATTAACATGGGGAACCTCGGCATCCCCTTGACAGTGACCAGCCCGTTGGAGAAGGCTGGTTGAAAGAGAGTGGCGGCTGTCCCCGAGATTTCCGCTCTACTTCGTCCAAGCCTTTCCAGCTACATCCTGCAGAAAGGTATCCCTAGCTTTTCAGGTGACATGCTACATCCCCAAAGTGGCACCATAGGTTCTAGATCCATCAAGACAAGGAGGCTGGTCCAAGGGGGGTTCCCGGGCCTCCTGCAAGCCGCTGGCTGTGGCGCCTTGATACAAGCCCCAACAGAGCATATGGCTTTCTGCCTGGGCAAGACAAAGTCCATCCGAGGCCGTAGAGGGGTGGACGCTCGGGGCAGGGCGCCCGCTTCGAGCAACAGGGGCAGGGCGCAGGTGCTTGTATCAGGACGTTCCCTCGCCGAGAATGCGAGCAATCAAGACGTAGATGAAGATGGCGGAGCCAGCAGCCAGTAGCTTGTTGCGCGACAGCCAGGAACGGCCGTCGTCTCGTCGTTGCATGACGGCATCGACAACTGCCTGCCCTTGGTGTCCGCTGCCGGCGGCGATGCCCAGCTGGGGGCCACAGCTTGGCGCGGCGCTGATGGGGTTGCCGGTGGCGGTGTCGATCTTGGCCTCGTGCATCCACTCCCAGTTCTCCTTGTCGACGTCGGGCCACTCGCTCTTGAACTTGGCGCCGCCATCGCCGGCCTTGACATTGCCCTTCTGCGCCGCCTTGCCGCCGGCCTTGACGTGGGAGCCGCCGCCCGTCGAGTTCCACCAGCGCGAGCGGGCGGCATAGAGCTTGCGCTCGGCCTTGGTGGCAGACACGGAGCCGGTCGTCATCTCGTCCGAGGTCATGAAGGAGAGGAGTCCGATGAGGATGGTGGAGACCTCCCATGCCGGGTTGAAGGAGCGCGGGTGGAAGTCGGAGATGGAGAGGCACAGTCTAGTAGAAGGCTGGAAGCGACCCGAAGGCGTGTGCATGCGGATGGCCGGGGGCGCGAAGGGGTAGTTGGGCGGGAACATGAGGGTACCCCAGTACTGGCCGCCATGATAGGGAGTGTTTTCGGGGCCGGTAATGATGTAGTGCCATCTATTTTATGTTGGAGGGGTTCAATCAGCAGGAGCGCAACAGCGACATTATAACAACAATGACGCAGAGGGCGGTGGAAGAGGAGGAGGAGGTGACGGGATACACGGAGAGATTTGTCCCCGTTCCCTCAGCCTCCGGTCTAGCAACGGGTGGCAGGCAAGGCCGACGTACTCGAGAATGTTGGATTCTGAGGGGTGAGCGGTGATGTATGGCGGCGGGTTTTCCGAAATAGTCTTGTACTCGCGTGTCAACTGTCAGGAGAGGGATTAGTCCTTGGGCTTTTCATAAAGGATCGAGTCGGGCCAGGTTTGTCTAGACATACACGCTTCTGTGCAGCCCTGCTAGCCATGCTAGGCTATCCGCGCTGGGGGGAGTGCGACCTGCAGGGTCCGTTTCTGGGTGAGTCGCTCTGGTGCACGAAGCAAATATAAGAGAAGAGGCGAGGCCGGAAGTTGAGCCAGCAGGTGATAGAGAACCAGACGATGCGACGGGTGGTGAGTGGCGCAGTGCCCGACAGAGGAGAGCGGCAGAGAGAGGGCGAGCAGGATGGATTGGAAGGGAGAGCAAAGAAAGGAAGTGATGGCGGGCGGGGAGGCGATGACGAGGACAATGATGGCGATGATGGCGATGAAGGCGATGGCGACGGCGATGGTGATGATGGGGGTCGGAACACCAGGGCTTCTTAAAGAGTCAGTACGTACCTAGGGTGGCAGCGAAGTCGTCAGACGTTTGGTGTGTGTGCTGGAGACTCCAAGACTCCAGGGAGCGATAGCGATAACTAAGGTACCTACCTTACCTAGAGAAGCGGGGCAGGGACAGGAGGAGTACCGTCCGTTCTGCCGGCTCGACTATTGGCAGAAAAGTAGATCTTGTGTACTCAGATCATCCATCTGGCTCGCCTGTTTGCATGGGGCGGCTCCAGGTGACTGTCGACAAACCTTAACCACTAAAACGCCTCCCTGGTAGGGCATTCTCGGGCTGGGTGCAACACGTAATCAACTCTAAAAAAAAAACACAGCTGGAGCAGTAGCACAGAACCAGAGCCTCTGTCTGGGCGGGCTCCCAGTGTTTGTCTTTAGCGCAGCCGGGGGGGGGGCAAAGGTTTACGGAGTACCTACCTAGGTAGTCTTGGTCTCCCTTACTGGATGGAGGTTTGGTACATTACTTACCTTAGTTACCTCCATTTTACTGTATGTGCCGTGATCCCTCGCGCGTTTTGCATTGGACCCAGTCCAGGTGCCGATCAATTCTCCCCGACTTTCGACTCTGGAGAAACGAGAAACGCCAGTCTGTCGCCTGCAGGCTGTCAGTCCGTCAATCAGCTAATCGGGCTACCTCCACAACCTCGGCCTCCTCTTCTTCTTCCTACTCCTCCTCGTCCTCGTCCTCGTCCTCGCGCCCGTCCTCGGCACCGGCAAGCTCCCGAGCTTGACCCCGAGCCATCGTCCAACCACCGATCGAAGCAGTGAACCTCCAGTAGTCCTATGCCTGCCATGGCCTCCGGCAAGGGCCCGGCCAGCAGCAATGTACGCCGTCTCTCGTACCGTGCCCCTGTGTGTCTGTGTATGAACAGCTAAGCTAAACATTGCCATCCGCCCGCCCCCGGACCAGGCCAACCCTGCCGATAGCATCGGCAAGCTCCAGGCCGACGCAGACGCCCTGAGGCAAGAGGCGCACGCCCTCCGCGATGCCGCCGACCTCGAGGAGCAGCAGGCGCAAATGCGCATCGCCGCACTGGTACGCGCATCATCATCAACCGCAGACGGCGAGGCAATCGTCCGACCTAGTGGCCCCGTGTGCGCTAACAACACCGGGCAACACTCCAGATGGCAGAACAGATGAGCCTCCCAGCGACCATCAACTCCATCGAGGTCCACGGCGCCAAGCACACGCGCAAGGGCTTCCTCGACCCCATATTCCAGCCTCTCGTAGAGGACAGCTGTAATGCCGGCACGACAATGCGCCAAGTCCTCGAGGGCATCCAAGATGCCACTGCAAAGCTCGAACGGTTTGGTAAGCTCCAACACGCAAAGATACACACGCGCACACACACGCACACGCACACACACTAACCCAAAGACGTCTTCGTCGGTGCTGCTCCTAGACATCTACAAGCCTCAGCCCTCCGTCTTCCTCTCCGACGTCCGCCGCCCCGATGCTTCCGCCGCCGCTACCGACCTCGACGTCTCCATCAAGGTCGCCGAGAAGTCGCGCTTCATGCTCAAGACCGGCACCGATCTGGGGAACACCGAGGGCTCCGCCTACGGCAACCTCCTGTGGCGCAACATCTTTGGTGGCGCCGAGACTCTCTCCCTGAATGCCAGCGCAGGCACCCGCACCCGCTCAGCGCACACGGCTGCCTTCTCCACCCCGGTCAACAATAACCCCGACGTGCGCCTGACCCTCGAGGCCTTGTCTTCGGCCACGCAGAAGCCGTGGGCCAGTCACGAGGAGGTCCTCAAAGGTGGCAGTCTGCGCCTGAGCTGGCTGTCCAAGCAGGGCAGCCTCCACAACCTGGCTTACTCGGGCGCATGGCGCCAGCTCACCGGCCTTGGCGCTGCTGCGTCCCCGACCGTCAGGACCGACGCCGGAGACTCCGTCAAGAGCTCCATCACGCACACCTTTACCAGGGACCGCCGAGACAATCCCATGCTGCCCCAACGAGGCTATCTTATCCGTACCGTCTCCGAGCTGGCCGGCTGGGGCCCGCTTGGCGGCGATGTCTCCTTCTCCAAGTCGGAGCTTGAGCTCGCCGGCGCCCTGCCGCTGCCGCTCCCGGGCATGAGCAGCCAAGAGACGGGCATCTCCATCGGCGGCGGCCTGCGCATGGGCATTCTCTACCCCTTGCCCTTGGGCTATAGCCTCGGCAACAAAGCCATCCCGAGCAAGGTCAATGACCGATTCCAGTTGGGCGGGCCGACCGACGTCCGCGGCTTCAAGCTCGGAGGCCTGGGCCCTCATGACGGAGCCGATGCTGTTGGCGGCGACGTGTTTGCCGCCGGCAGCGTCAACGTCCTTCTGCCTGTTCCTAGAGCCGGCCCGAGTTCGCCCCTGCGGTTCCAGCTATTCGCCAACAGCGGTCGCCTGGTGGCCTTGAAGGACAAGAAGGGCAAGTCGCAAGGTTCGGTCATGGAGCCTGGCGCAGCGGCCAGTGCCCTGGGCTCGGCCATTGGCGAAGTCCTAGGCGGCCTGCCCAGCACTGCTGCCGGCTTCGGCATTGTCTACGCCCATCCTGTCGCGCGATTCGAGCTCAACTTTAGCTTGCCGCTCGTGCTCAGGAGAGGCGAGGAGGGCAGGAAGGGCCTGCAGGTTGGCGTCGGCATCAACTTTCTCTGAAGAAGCAGTCCACCACATAGATGTTTATAGACCCTAGGGTTTGGGGGGAGGGCCGGGCTGGTGAGCGGTCATCTGTATTTGTACTATACTTGGGTAGTAGATATATCCCACTATCGCGCTGGCAGGTGCGGCCTTTCTTTGACTCGTGCCGCACTTACACGTCGACATCTTTGACCAACCAGTACGTCCTTTTGTCGCCGCCGTCACGGAGCCGGAAGCCACACTTTTGGTAAAAGTCGACCACTTGCTTGTTCTCCTCGCCGATAAAGAGATGTACTCCTCGGCCCATGTCGCCCTGACCATCTCGCACAGACTGTCGAATGCTACCCACGAACAGGTCGACGAGCTTGCGGCCCCACCCTTGCCTCTGAAACTCGGGCAGCAGGTCGATATGTAAGGTAGCCCTGTGAGCTTCCAGCATGTCGGCCTTGTCGCGGAAGCCCATTACCCACTCGGGCTTGTACGCCCACTGCACCAAGCACTCTGGGTTGATTTCCGTCTCACCCCCCTCCGCCGCCGCGGCCAACGGCCTTGGCACAAGCAGCGGTACCTGTGTCTCGAGCTGGGCGGGCGGCGGCACATCCGAGGCCAGGACCTGGTCGACGTACGGGCGGTAGGCGGCCACGAAGGCAAAGACGTCGGGACAGCCGAGCACGTAGCCCACAGCCTTGCCGGTGCCGTCGTCCAGCACGAAGCACTGTTTGCGGCGGGAGGGCCACTCGACGGTGAGCACTCGAAGAGCAACGCTTGCAGGTCAAGAGCCACCGGGAGAGGCTGGGCCTACATTTTCCGGGCGCAAGTGCGTGAAGGGAAAGGTCCAAACATACGGCGCCAGTCGAGCCGCCAGCTCAGACCAGCCCAGACCTGGGAGTAGCGTGGCCCGACACTAGATAAACGGTGGGGGTTGCAACGACGTCAGTACGCAAACAAACAGACAGGTAAACACTGGTTCGGGTCCTTCTGGGGGGTCAACTCACAATGTACGCTGCCTGATCAGCGTCGGCCGGGTCAAAAGGCCGAAGAAAGGCCATGGTGTGCAATCCAGACCGACAACAAGAACAACAGCAGCAGCAACAGCAACAGCAACGACGGCCCAAGTTCGAGACAGTGATGAAGCGAGAGCCTCCCGTACAAGACAGCATCTTGTCCACTCGGATGTGGCTACGCCCTCGCACCAGACTCGAGCCAAATGAGGGGAAATTCTGAAGTTATCGGCCTGCGGACCGATGACCCAGATCACGGGCCGGGCAAACCCCAAAACGAGAGAGCAGAGATATGCTGTGCTTAAGGCAGCATGGTATTACGTCCCACAGGCTCAAGTCGTTGCCGTCACTGTCTTCCATGCCAGCCACCGACCACAATCGACAGCGATGAGTTTTAGCAGTGCCTGTCAATGCCTAGTTTCCAAGGAACTGCGAGACTGTGAATATTCTAATCAATTCTTCTCCCACAACCAGAGAGGCTTGGAGTCTAGCCACGAGGCTTAATTATGATAATCTACCGAAGATGTCCACACTTCATTGGCCCCTCCCAATGCCATCCAGGGGCGCCCAGAATCAACTGCATATGAAAATTTTCAAGCACGGAGGCGCTCTGCAAGACACTCCGATACAAGAAATCCGAGGACGATACGGGAACCAGTCCGTCAAAAGCCGCCTCGTAGGGGTAAAATCGCTGTGCCAGAAGGGAAAGGGGAACACAACAAACAGAGAATGATTTAATAGGTATATGATAAATAAACACACTGCGCCCGGGTATACTATGCAAGCAGGTATCCTATAAGTCGTGAATTCGGTAAGACAGTGAACGCCAGATCTTCAAGGTACTGCGCGTCTAAAATATGCATAAAGAAGTAAAGGGGTTATGGATACGGGAGCTGAGGAGCAAGGACATTGGTGGGCAGCGAGTCCTCGTAGTCCTCGTAGTCCTCGTAGCTGAGGTGTCACCGGAACAGAAGTGCCTAGATCATCCCTCCTGGGACGCTCATGTTGGCGTTCTTGTTGACACCTGGTGTGACGACAGTCCGACTGGCAGGGGGGCCAGCAACAAATGGCGGGCTGTTGATGCGACTTCTTACGAACGACTGGCCGGGCCCTGGCTGCCTGTCACCATCGAGAGCGTGCCCACCAGGTCCCGACGTCTCACGTTTCCGCAAAGGGTTGATGGGAGGTAGTGGCGGTGGGACATAGCCGCCAGTGCTCCCCGACTGCGAGAGCGAATCGCCCCCCGAGCGCCCGCATCTGTCATACTGCATATCTGGAGACGAAGCACTTTGCGGGAGAGCCATTGTGGGCACCCGGCTTGTGCTCGTGAGAAATGTTGGCTCAGAGATCTCAAACTTGCGCACCGTCTTCTTCATAGAGTCATTCAGCATGCCAGTACTGCTCGACCCTGTCTGCAGCGATGGTCGACGGCCGCTGGGACGAATGCCGGAGAGCGGAGAGGCGGGCAGGCCAGCGCTGAGCGGGGAAATCGGTGATGCTTGCCCAGATCGATTATCGAACCCGGTGTGGTTGGGCTGTAGTGCCAACGACGACAAGGGCCCGGACCTATCGCCTTGGCGCGCCGTAGAAGTTTTGCCGCCAGGATAGCCCTGAGGAGGCATGATGGGGGAGTGTCTGATGTCCGTCCCAGGAAGACCAGGCGATCGAGCCATGGGTGCCTTGGAAGGGCTCCGAGTACCCAGCTGTCGCTGCTGATCTGCGTGAGGGGACGAGTTGTTCCGTAGTCTGGGAGGACGGCTGCGTTCGATGCTGGTGCTGGTCTCTGAGCCGCTCCTGTCGCGGTCCGATCTGGAGGATGGTCGAGATGCATTGCCCATGGACGGACTGGCCCCGCTCGTCGAGTCCTCGGTCGATGCCCTCAAACGGCGATTCTGTGCAGAGGGAGGCCGGCTCCCCGATCTCGGCGCGCCAGGCTCGCGACTCGACGTACCTCTTGATGAGACCGAAGGGCCCATGCCTGCGTCCGACGACGATTGGTGAGGCTGGTTCTGGTGTCTTGCGAGTGTTTCGAGCTCCTTGCGTTTCTGCAGCTCGCGCCTCGCCTGCCTGAAGGCACGAAGGCCGGGGGGGACGTTCTCCTCCTCTCTTGACACGGTAGATGTCGCATCAGCATCCGTATCCGCATCGGAATCCGCCTCTCGACCCAAGCGCTTTGGGATTGTCGATGCACTGTCACTCATGGTCCCAACCGGGAAATCGTCAAATGACTGTTTTGAGGGGCTCGGAGAGGTAGTCATGGTCGATGTGCCAATGCCGAGCATTTTCATGGCCTTGGACTGGGAAGCCTCGCGAGGTCTGTCTTTCAGCGAACCCCTACTTGACTGGGCTCGGAGGATACCAAGAGGATTGTTTCTAGGAGGTTCCGGTGACTGGAGCAACGGCGAGGGTGCCCTGCTGCTATCAGATTCAACGTACGACGTGAGGCGCTCCTGGACCCGTCGGCGAGCGTGAGCCAGCTGACTTGCGAATTCATCCTCCTCCTCCGCCTCCACCGCTTCTTCTCCATCATGCTCAAGGTGGTTTCCTCCGTTGCGACCATGAGTTAGACTCTGCTGACCAGTGATCTGCGAAGTCGTCGTGCGATTCTGCGCCGTGCCGGGCATGGCATCCTCATTAGCTTCGCCCGAATACCAGTCCTGATCCTGCCAAGGGTTTGACTTGACGCCGAGATCGTCAAGGACCTGCGGGTTCCTTGCATCGACAGGAAACTGCGACTCGGGACCTGCCGTCTGAGGCATACCACCATATATGGATGATGCACCGCTTTCAGAGCGAAGGTGCTGCCGAACCATACCGCTAAGTCCCGCGCCCGGTCCAAGCGTGGGCGAGTCTTCGGGGAGGACCTGACTGGCCCGGTCGATCGACACCTCTAGCTTTGGCGCCTCACGAGATGCCGGCCCTGTACTCGCATGCCGGCTGGGTGGCAGAGACGCCGAGGTAGTGGACTGACGGAGAGCTGGGTGTTCATGATCTGCGGGCCTCTGAGGGATACGATCCGACGGGATCTTGGTCGCAGGATGGCCACTTAGACGAGTCGAGCCTTCGTCACTATCGATAAAGAAGCTGGTCTCGTACGGCCGCTCCTCTTCGAGGGCAGTGTCAAGCCTAGACGGGTTGTCTTGTCTATGACGCTGAGCAGACGAGGAACGAGATCTGTTGGTCGAGAAGGAAGCGCCGGACTCGGCCCGGAAGCGCTGCGTGGGTGTTTCCCGTCCCTGCTGCAGCTGAAGCTGACGCTGTGCAAACTTGGATTCATCATAAGGAAGGCTCGGCTTTTGAAAAACGCCCATCGCCGTGGCTTTGCCTCTGTCGTTGGGCCCGATAGCAAGGAGGGGATGATCGCCAGCCTCGCTTGTGGGCGGACTCAGAGGCGGTGTTTCCAGGGGAGGGCTTCTAGCCTCTGCCCAGCTCGGCGGCTTGATCCCCAGATCCATGGTCCCTATTGATGAACCAGTCGCGGGTGGGCTGATAGATCTCAGATTGGGCGCGCTCGCTTTGGTCAGGATATGCCTGCGGTCGCCGCCAAAACGGTCACTGAAGGCATTGCCGGTGGGAGAAGGGGAGCTGCCCGCTAGATCTGGTGTGCGAGAGCCAAGCGGGCGCTGGCGGCTCAGGGTGTCGATCCTTGAGAGTGCCGACGACTGCTGGTCGTGAAGATCCTGGTTCAGCCCTTGCTCGTACAGCCTCCTTGTCCTCGTGACGTGGCGTTCCAAGGTCGGGGTTGAAGCAGATGAAGTGGACAGAGGACCCTGCGACTGCCAGTCCTTGAGAGAGGACGGAGGCTGAGAGGTCACCGAGGTTGCTGCGGTCGAGTTACGAGCAAGAGATGGGATCGACGAGGTTGTTGACGAAGTCTCGCGTCTACGGTTATAACCTAGCGGAAGCGGCGATTCGGGACGGGTAGTTTCCGACTCGACGTCAAGGTAACCCCGGTCGTCGCCGTCGTCTCCATCGCCTTCAAGAACTCCCTGGCCGGCCTTCTCGGCTTGCCTCCATTTCTGAAAAGCGGAGAGGGCAACATCGTCCTCATACAGCGCCCGACCGCCCATGCCACCGGCGGCAGTCTTGGCAGACGATCCGATGGGGATTTTGTATATCTTCTGCCTCCCGCCAAACAGATTGTTGCCTTCGGTGGGTTTGGCGCGGTTCATGATGCTGCCCTGTTGGAAATCGGCATCATCGGATGCGAACGAGCCAGTCCGCGCAAACGGCGCCGCCGCTCGGATCGATTCGACCTCGGCTATGTCGGCCAGGCCACGGCCAAAGGCGAAGTCGGCCAAACGAGACTGGCGTTTTGGATAGAGCACGCTGTCGTCGCTGGCTTTGCCGATTTTTGTGCTGGGGTCGTCCTGTTCACGCAGCATGGAGAAACGGGCAGACAGCCCGGTCATGAGCAAGCTGGTCCTGAAATCATCGCTGGAAGGGAGCGCCGTCGTCAAGTCGACTTCCTTCTTCTGTTCCTCTTCGTGCGATTTCTTGCCCCTCCGGAAGCCCTTGAAGGAAGGCAATGACGACTGCTCCTCACTGGAGGACCGGCCCACGGTTGAGTCATCCTTGGTCTTCTTTCTTGTTCTGAAGCGATTCATGGCGACCGTGGAAGGGGAGGAGTCGGAGACCGGACCAGGCTGGAATGTGCAGGCAGATATTCGACCTGTGGCATGAGTTCAAGGCGTGCCAATCCAGGTGAGTTAACTGTCAACTAAACCTAGACACTTGGTGGAAGAGTATGCAGTTCCCGTCGTGGATTTTCTCGCGCGGCGTGACAGAAGTAGTAGTTAATAAAGCCGAGAATGTAGACCGAGAGACAGCATGGACAGCGATGGAGATGTTGAGAGGCCTACAAGACGGACCAAGCCAGGTTAGCAGCGATACTGAGTAACGAGCAAGAAAAAAAGTGCAGAGGGAGCCTCCGTCACAAGGCAACGCCACAGAGGCACGCAGGACGAGACCGGGTACCGGGTTCGCGCAGGGCCAAGCCAGCGGCAAACACTGGTCCTGGGCGAGAGACGGGCTGCCGCAGCTCTGGTCGAAGCGTTGTGCCGCCTCCTGCCGGGGTCGAGGACTTGTGAGCAGCGGAAGGTGAATGCAAGTGAGGCCGTACCTGGTGCAGTTCGAGGTTGTTTCGTGGGGGTTGGTGTCGAAAGTGTTTCAGGGAGCGGCAGGGGATGCCAAACGGTCCCGGGACAGGAGACGGGTTGCTCTCTGTAGATCAGGCGGGATAGGGACGAGGCGACGGTGTAGGCATGAAAGTCGGAGACCGATCTGAGCCCAATACGCAATTGGCAAACCTCGGAGGCTATTGTTCTAGGGATCCGAGCAGCAGAAAAGACACCGATTATACCAAGTCGCTGGCTGGAATGAAAGTGACGGAGCATGTGCAGAAAGCACAAGCGAGAAGCGAAACGTCAAGGCGCCAAGGTGTCGAGTCGGTCGGAGAGTCGCAAGGACGTCAATGGCCGTACTTGAGCATCAAAGCAGGTGTTTGAACGCGGGAGGAGCCCCTTGGTCCGCAGGACACGGGGGAACAAGACGATTCGAAGGAGCGTGGAGGACCTGCTGAAAGGAGGCAATGGTGCATAAAAGAGTGATGGCGGCGCGGACCAAAGAGAGACAGATGGAGAGAGAGAGAGAGTGAGAGTGAGAGAGAGAGGGGCGTGGTCAAGGGCCAAAGAAAAAGGAGTGTATCAGTGAGTGTGGGTGAGTGCAAAAGCAGGGCTTGTGGAGAGTTGAGCGGCCGTGATGGTGGTGAAGGCGACAGACAGAGAAGGAGAGAAATTTGGGGGAGGTCTCGCCTGGCCCGAGTTCTGGATCATCTGGATGGACTGGCTGTGGACAGGGGGGGGGGGGGGGGGGAGAGATTGAATGTCAATCAGAAAATTGGAGCGTAGGTACTTAGCCCTGGAGGGCAAGGTAGGAAGCGGTCGGGTGGCTTCCGGTGCTTTAGTTAGGTGGTACGGGCTACTACCGACCTGCCTTAGTTACCTAATGTACCTAAGATATAGGTAAGGTAGGTACCTGGCTCCAGGGCTAGCAGCGGACTTGATAGGTACTTACCTTGCCTACAAGTACCTTAGGTAGGTGGGTATATGAGTTACTTGGTGAGAGGAGGGTTGCACAACGGGAGGGGAGGCAAGCAGCAGGGTCAACCGCACGGTGGATGACAGACGGGGGGCTGGAGATGGCAACAAACAAATGAAAATGAAAATGGACTGTAGTTACTCCGTAGCGATCTGCTGGCTGGTCCCAGCAAGACGTTTTGGCGAAGCTGCTGAGGGCCCCCAACCTGTTTCGAGATTGCACACCACCACCACCACCACCACCGATCCATCACCATGCAAATGCAGCATGGCGTTATCGTGGACTCTTTTTCCTTTCTGTTCCTCTCTCTCTCTATGTGTGTGCGTCTCTGTTATTACTTCTAAACATCCTCCCGTTTTCGCAATAGGGGTCCCCTTCCACCCCTTTTCTTCTTGGTACCTTCAGGGCCCCCGTAGGCCAACCACAAAGCCCTGTACAGAGAGACGGCCTTTGAAGCGATCCAGCTCGACCCAGCCGGGCGGGCAATTGACCAATTCATTGATCAATCAATCAAATGGCCCTCGGAGGCGACCCGACTGATTGTTTAACCGACCCCAGGAGGCCTTTTTCTTCCCTCGTCCCCTGTCCTGTATGGTGGAGTCGCAAAGGAGGAAGCCGACCGGTCGAGCGAGCGAGGCGTCGGCGGGCATTGAACTCATCATTCACGGAGATGCCAGCTGCTCACTTGCTTTGAGAAGCCGACTTGTTGTAATTTCCCTCCCCCCTACCCCGTTAATTAGCGGGCTCGAGCACCTGGCAGAGAGAGAAGCCAGGATCCCTTGGCGGCGCGAACCCGCAGAAAAAGGCACGGTGGAGTGCATGGGCACCAACAGATTCGCCTCTTCCCGGCCAGAGACACGCGCCGGCCCCTGACGCTAAGAACCATGTTTTCCAAGACAGTCTAGCTTCAGGTACGGACAGCACCACAGTGCCAGAGCAGGTCGTTACCTACTTGGTAACTATGCGGCAAACTTTGCAAGTACCGACCTCCTTACCTGCCAGCCCAGGTGCCGGCGCATCAGCTCTACCTATCGCATCAGCGAGCGTGGATTGGATGTTGGATGGATACCGAGGCGATCATGCACGGCCTCGACAGATCTTCGCTCCTGAGGTTCTCGTCCTCGAGCAGAGAGAGTAGAGAGAATGTGTGTGTGTGTGTGAGAGAGAGAGAGATGGGGAGTGGAGAGAGGAGGAAAGCAAAAGGGGATCAATCACAGCCATGAATACGATCAAAAGCAACTTCCGACCAGCCAGATGCCGTTGTTCATGCTCCCTCACTTCAGGCCAACCCACACTTCAGCTAACCACTTGGCTAAACCCCCTCCGTCCCTACTCCGTACTCGGTATGTACTTGGTGCGCGGTGGTCTAGAGACGGCGTGTGTCAAACTGTTTAGACCGTTGGGCTTTTATGCAGGTTCCGGGAGCCAGAACCGCGCACATTGACATGCTGCTGCTCTCCAGCCCAGGCCCACTGGCTCCGCTCCACCACCCACTAACAGACCCGTGGTACCATCTGCTATCCCTGTCCATCTCAGACACAGATCATGGAGGGGAGAGCGAGAGAGAGAGAGAGAGAGAGAGAGAGAGAGATGGAGGAGGAGGGGCCAAGGGCCAAGGAGGGTGACCACCGCGGATATCGGGACCTGTCTGTAGGCATACGCCCTAATACCTTGCCTACCTACAGCTACATAATAGCCAACTGCACGACAATAGCGAGTGTGACTCTGTTTCTCGCGCCCCCTCTGCATGCATGTTTCCCCTGCCCCTGTTACATCTAGCCCTAGCAATCTCCGCAATGCGGCGTCCGGAGAAAAAAAAAAAAGAGAGACTGTGCGCGGACTGTCCATCTCAACTGGTGCGCACCCGACGAATAGTCACAGAGTACTTGTACTCTGTAGGGGATGCTCTGTGTCCGAGCAAAGATGAGAACCGGCGACGAGGTACCGATTTGCGTATCGCGGGCCAGCCTGGTGGTGCTGCTGCGTTCCATTCTACTCCAGGTTGTGACAGACCGTAGTTGCTTGTACGTGTACCTGTACAAGTACTTTACCCATGCCAACCCCGTCAAAGCAGGCTCGGAGTAGGTAACCCGGCGCTGGAAGCATGGAAGCAGGCCGCCCAGCCCCGGGCGAATGACGTGGTGAGTAGGGGTGATCTTGTGCAAATCTGACTTCACTTCCCTACTTGTACTTGTGCTTGGGGAGGGATCTTGGGGACACGGCGAGGTCCTCACTTCTCAGAAGTTCGGCAAGCATTCCAAGCATTCCTTCTTCCCTATCTCCCCCGCTCGTCTTTTGCTATCCTTGGCCGCAATGGTACGGCAGTGACCCAGGCGAACGGTGAGGCTGCCATCATCTCGCTACTTGTATTACACTTGAATAAGGACAACCCCCATGAACGCGCCTCGTTTGCCTCCCCGGTAGATTCAACCACCGTCCATCTAGTTACCTACAACTTGCCTCGATATTGTGATAAGTTGACAAGCAGTCTGGCAGGTCACAGGCATGAAAGTCCTGCACACCCACAGTCTATGGAAGGGGACCCGCAAGCACTCGCCCGCTTCACATATGATGGATGTACCTATACAATCCTTATGCCGTCCCGCGTCGCAAAAAGCCCCTAGTGGTGCCATCCAGTACAGGCAGGTATACAAGACTGGTCAAGTCTCAGAAGACATTTTCAAGTGAGACAACTTGAACGTGGATGCCCACCCGCACATCCATCCAGCCATCCATTGACAACTTATTGCCAATAGACATGTGCAGATGGGCAAAGGATGATAGCGCATGGCCTTCCCTACCGCACAGAGCCCGCAGCGTTCATATCCAGTTTGGACCTTGTGCCTCTAGAGTTGAATATAGTGGGAAAGATAGCAGGCGGGCTTCGGCTCAGCCAGTGTATCGTTTGGCTTCTTCTACAATCGACCATGCCTCTCAAAAATGTACTGCCTGGGCAGCAGAGTAGGTCAATCACGCATGTGCCTCTCCATATTTCTTCATACAGTCATAGAGACACAAGAGTAGCTGACCAAGGTCTCAGGGAGGCCCGGACGGCATTGAGATCATCATGCAATCTGCCTTTCCCACCGGGTATCTTCTACAGCATGTCCTTGCCTGAGCAGTCGGGTATTTTGGCAAACCAATGTCCCCCACAACCGAAGCCCCATCAGGCTGAGACATGGGGGTTCAGCAGACAGCCACTGCTTGAAGTGCCTTTCAAAATCCCTGTTCCAAGTGCCTGGATCTCACTCCAGTGTCATCTTGGTGGATGAGGAAGAAACGACTTTGGCGGAAGACTGTGAGCGCCCAGCCATCGATCAACCACGTGCTCGGAGAATACAGGCTATCCATGCCATGTGGCGTCTGTGGGCAGACGCGGTAGAGTCTCGCGCGGAACCGTCTATGGAGAGGCTCTACTATGAGACTCGTTGAAGCATGAGGCCAGGCGAGGCATGGAGATGGACATGCATACCCCATGCACGCCCCATCCGTTGTCAGACCAACTTGATGGGCAACAGACGATGTGGCTGACAACCAATGTGATATGCAGACATGAGCAGAGACTTGAGCCCCTTTGCTCATGGCAGCGGCCCGGTGACGGTATTCGAGATTTGTTGGAATCCATCCCGCGGTGTGCATCTGCTCGCAGCCCATGCGGTGTCCTATGTTTTGATTGACAGGCAAAAAGAGAAGTAATACATGAGGTATAATCCCATGATTCACAGTGATGGCTCTAGTTGATCGTATCGCGCTGCCAGGCAAATGCTTCGGTTTCGTCATTGTCGCTTGTAGGCGTTATCCTCGGATCCAGGGCGCCACATCCGTGTATTCTTTTTTTGGTAGGCCGGAAGATCAGTGGCGGTGCGGGTGATAGGGCCTCTCTCTATATCGGGCAGACACCATCACATCATCCCGGCCGGGGGTTGCATTGTGCGTCTCCGGTGGCCCAATGAACGGGCCTCTCTTGGACACCAGGCGGGTCTGACTTGGATGTGGCCTCCCCATCATGCGCGTAGCACCGGAAGCGCCCGGCGTGGACGGGTTGACCAAACCTTGTCCGTGCCACTCGTGGAAGACAGCCCCGACGAGCATCTCTTGGTTGAGCAGATGTGCAATTTTTCCCTTTGAATAGATCTGGTATGCCTCCCTGGAGGGGTCGCTCGACGGCACCAGGAGAGGCGGCAGATGGCAGCAAATGCGTGAGTCCATGACTTTCTGTCATTTCTCAATGTACCCAGCCATGCACGCGGGACAGTTGGGCTGAAATTGGGCATGCTGATCTCCGTGGAATTCCTTCCAGGGCGCCGCTCCGGCTCATATGTCCAGCGTGACAACTGACGATTGACTCACCTACACACCCCTCCCTCACCTGGCCCGGCCTGTTATTTGATGTCGTGGCTCGAATCCTAGCCGAGCCGTCACCGCTCACGACACTCGTTCTTTCTCTCTGCCTTTCTTCAGCTTGCGTCTTCTCCTTTCCCTCCGCCCTTGTCTCACACCCGGGACATACCGTCACATCATTGGAATCTGTGCCGCCAGACTTGACTCCCTTCCTCGCCCTTTCCCCCCTCTCTTTTGATTTTCGGATCAGAAGGGCAGCAACCCGAACCTGCAAGGGGATCAGCTTCGGCGCGCAAAGGACCAAGCCCGGGGGCAAACTGATATATATTGAGGCGCCTGCCTTGCTTCGGCGAACGCCCTCTCGTTCACCATGCGAGAATCAGGCACTGCTCAGCCATATACAAATACCTACACGGTGGCTCACGACCCCGACATCAGCTACCAGCAAGCCCACATGCGAGAGGAGATCTGTGATTTCAACACCCCCCAGAGGTCTGCGCATCAACAGCCTAACGCTCATACTGGCCGGTGCCTCTTCCCGTCACCAGATACGCCCCGCCATTCCACTGGGCGGTATTCTCGTCGCCGTTCTGCAAGTCACGCCTCCTCGCAGAGCAAGCAAAGGCGATCGGGACCACATTTTGCTTCGTGCGGAACAGAGGTGAGCCTGCTTACCCCTTGGCCTCCCTCCCTCCCTCCCTCAAAGCCTGTGTTCCCAAGCTAAACAGGCCTGTATAGTGCCCATGTAATCGCAACCGCACACTAACAATGGTCACGGAATCGGCAAGAAGTGCGCCTCTGCCTGCAGCTGGCGCAGTCGTCAAAACGGTGCCCCTTTCTGTGTGGGACCAGGTCTCAATGCGCTCCTACATGCGGGTCGTCCTATGCTTTCCCTTTCTAGCCAACGGTGACAACCTGGCGAGAGCGTCCTCATGCCTAAGATCTGCCCTCGCTCGCTTGAAGGAACAACGGCCAGATTTTGCGGGAAGAATACTGGCAGGGAACGATGACGACAGAGGACGAGTGTTCCTTCGCACCTCTCCGAGCGACTCTATTCCCTTCGAGATGCAAGCGCTCGGAGACGACTTCGCCAGTTATGAGACCCTCAAGTCGGCCGCCTTCCCCCCAGAAGACTTCGTTCATCCACGATTTTCCATCCCTCACAACCTGGACAAAGGCCCTGCTCCAGTCGCGTCGATCAAGGCCTTCGCCATCCAGGGTGGACTCATGCTCACTGTCTTCTTCCATCATTCCATAGCCGATGGCGAGTGTCTCCGCATATTTCTGGAGAGTTTTGCAGCGCAGACACGGAAAACCCCCATCAGAGCGCCTTTCATGCCGCAGTTCGATTTTCCAAAGCAAACCCTGAGCCGTGCAGACAGCGCAGAGCTCGTCTCCCATTTGCCCGAGTACACACTCCTTCCAGAACCCTACGGCCCTACAGTACCTTACATCCCGGCGGGGGGCGTGCCTATTGACGAGATAGATAGGACTGGGAAGATATTTACGTTCGATAATGACAGGCTGGTGTGTCTCCGGAGAGCCCTGGCCAAAGTGATGAAAAGGTCCAAGGTCCCTTCAAACTATACATGCTTGGCGGCTTGGGCGTGGGCTCACATCAGCCGCGCTCGTATGAGGGATGACGAGTATGTGCCCAGGACGGCAACAGACCCCCCAGCCAGGCTGCAGACAATGGTCAACTGGAAGAAGAGGGTTGACGGAAATGCGCGCTATGAGAACTACTTCGGCAATGCTACAGCTATCGCTGTGACCACTTCAGTTGCTTCAGAGCTCGCATCCGCCTGCCAAGACTTGTCCTCCCTAGGTTGCCTGGTCCGCAGGATTGAGGCTTCGATTCAAAGTGTCGATGACGCCTTTGTCAATAAGCGCACCGCCTTTTTTGACTCGGTCTCAGACCCTCGCCGTGTCGGCCTAGCAAGCGACCCGAGAACACCGACAGATCTGGCCTTCAACACCTGGCGCTTTTTTGGTGCTGATACTGCCTGGGACATACCTGGGGTACCTTCCAGAGTGCCAGACACAGTACGCAAGGCCCAGGAAACATGGGGACTGGCTGGGGCCCTAATACTGCCGGCCAGGAAGACGTCCCAGGTGCATGAGCTACTTATCACCCTGCCTAGCTCATCAATGAGAATTCTTTGCCAGGATAAAGACTGGTCTCAGTTAAACTACTAGTTAAATATAATATATATTACAAACTTAAAATTAAAACATAAGTAATTTTAAGTATTTAAAATCTTATCTACCTCTATGCTTTATATCTATCTATCTATCTATTTTATTAATTCTTAGTCTATCTATTAGAAGCTAAGTTATACTATTTATTAGGGCATAATAAGAAGGGCTTATATTAGAGGATAATAAAAAGGGCTGGAGAACAGCTTAGAGGGGTAGTTATTAGTAGAAAGATCCTCTAATAGTATAGAAGTAGAGGAGATATACTAAGAGTAAAGAGTCTATATTAAGAGATCTTAGATATATTATATCTATCTATCTATTAAAATAAGTTTACTTAGATCGGCCTTTTAGGTATATATACAGGCTGTTTAACTTGAAAAATTTATTGAAATACTATACTTATTAGTTTAGTGATAAGATTTAGAAGAGAAGAATAATAACACTCTTTTTATAAAGAAGTATATTTAATTATAATAAGCTATAATATTCTAAACTCTAATTAGAGTTTAATCTTTATAATATAACTATTTTTAAAACCCTAAAGTAATCTATATAGTATTTTAATTATTAATAATCTATTTTAATTTATTCTTTTTATTAATAATAAGAGTAGGATTTTAATCTATCTATTTTATTTATTTTTAATATATCTATTAGATATAAGCTAAGTTATACTATTAATATAATATAGTTAAAAGAGATATAATAAATATAATACCTATATTCTAGAGACACTATAATAATACCTAATAATAAGGATATAATTATTATTATAGATTAATTAAGTATAGTCCTCTAATTATAAAGACCCTTAAGCCTGATAGCTATCTTTAATATAGATTTAAGACCTAGAATTAATCCTAGATTTTTAAACCTCTTAACTATAGTTAAGATTTAGAATTAGTTCTAGACTTTTTAACCTCTTAACTATAGTTTAGCCTATAACTAGCTAATAAGTTAACTTATCTAGATATCTATATATATAAGTTTATAAGTCTAGATATATAAGCTATTTAATAATAATAGATATAATTAAATTATTATAATAAATAGTTTCTTAATAATAAGTAATCTACTCTATAAGCTATAATAATATACTTTAAGACTATTATTAAGAGATTATATTAAATATATATAAAATAATCTATTCTTTTATTACTAGCTCTTTTAAGTCTATCTCTTATACTTATTTATATTAAGACTCTTAAGTATATTCTCTATTAAATAATCTTATATATATATCTATATATATATATACTTATATAATATTAATATATATACTTAAGATTAAAGAGATATTATTCTTTCTTATTTCTATAATATCTAATAAGAAGAATAAGTAACTCTTTAATAAAGTTAAGAAGTTTATCTTTTTTAAGTTTAATCTAGATAAACTATATAAAGCTATTAGAGAAATTAATAATATTAATAATTATAGTCTTCTAGGCTTTAAATATAGTCTATTAAAGATTATTAATATTATAGAGCTACTTAAAAGCTTAATTATCCTTAAAGAGATATAATCTAATAATCTAAATCTTAATTATCTCTTTAATAATAAGAAATATTAGCTATAGCTAGAATATCTAAGAAAGATAGTTAAATATCTTTAGAGAAGAAAGGAGGAATAGAATTAGTAGTGGTTTTACTATATTAATAGTTGTTTTAATAGGATTATAAATTAAATAGAGTTGATAAAAGCTACTTAAATAACTTATATATAAGGTTCTAATTAATTAATTAATCTAATATTATAGAATTATACTATAGTTATAAATCCTTTAAGAGAGAGTAGGATTTTAATATTTATATTAGAATTTTAATCTCTATAAATTATTTAATAAGAATAAATAGCTATTATAATTAATATTAAATATAATTATTATAAATAATTATAAATATAGATTATATATCTATAATAATTAATAATATTAATATTAACTATATAATATATTAATATATTATTAAAGAATCTCTTTTAGAGGATTTATAACTATAGTATAAATCTATAATATTAGATTAATTAATTAATTAAGATCTTATATATAATAACTTTATTTAAGTAGCTTCTATTAACTTTATTTAATTTATAATCTTATTAAAACAACTATTAATATAGTAAAATCACTTCTATTCCTTCTTTCTTTTCTAAAGACACTTAACTATCTTTCTTAAATACTCTAGCTATAGCTAATATTTATTAATATAGAAGAGCTAATTAAGATTTAGATTATTAGATATTTTATTCTTAAGGATCTATAGACTTTTAAGCAGCTCTATTATATTAATAATCTATAGAAGCTTATATCTAAAGACTAGAAGATTATAGATATTATTAGTATTAATTTTACTAATAATATTATAAAGCCTATTTAAATAGAGCTTAGAGAAGATAAACTTCTTAATTTTATTAAAGAGTTATTTATTCTTTTTATTAGATATTATAGAAATAAGAAAGGATAATATCTCTTTAGTCTTAGATATATATATTAATATTATATAAGTATATATATATATATAGATTAGATTATTTAATAGAGAATATATTTAAGAGTCTTAATATAAATAAATATAAAAGATAGACTTAAGAGAGTTAGTAGTAGAAGAATATATTATTTTATATATATTTAAGATAATCTCTTAGTAGTAATCTTAAAGTATATTATTATTATATTAAGGCTTATAGGATGGATTACTTATTACTAAGAGACTATTTATTATAATAATTTAATTATATCTATTATTAAATAGCTTATATATCTAGGCTTATAAACTTATATATATAGATATCTAGATAAGTTAACTTATCAGCTAGCTATAGGCTGAACTATAGTTAAGAGATTAAAAAGTCTAGGACTAATTTTAGGCCTTAACTATAATTAAGAGGTTTAAAAGTCTAGAATTAATTCTAGATCTTAGACCTATATTAGAGATAGTTAGTAGCTATTAGACTTAAGGGCCTTTATAATTAAAGGATTATACTTAATTAATTTATAATAATAATTATATTCTTATTATTAGATATTATTATAATATCTTTAGAATATAGATATTATATTTATTATATCTCTTTTAACTATATTATATTAATAGTATAACTTAGCTTATATTTAATAGGTATACTAAAAATAAATAAAATAGATAGATAGATATTATATTTATTATATCTTTTTTAATTATATTATATTAATAGTATAACTTAACTTATATTTAATAGATATATTAAAAATAAATAAAATAGATAGATAGATATTATTAAAGAATAAAAACTACTTTAATTAAAATAAAGTATAATTAAAAGTATTTATATTTTACTAAGAAGTAAAAGTTCTTAGATATAGAAAAAAGTAAAAGATTAGAAAGATCTTAAAAAGAAGATTAATTTAATAAGTAAGAGGTTTATAATAACTTTTATTAATCTCTCTATATTATTATATAGATTAATATAACTCTCTTAAAGAGTTTATAATTATAATATAATTCTATAATATTAGATTAATTAATTAATTAGAATCTTATATATAAGTTATTTAAATAGCTTCTATTAACTCTATTTAATTTATAATTCTATTAAAATAACTATTAATATAGTAAAACTACTATTAGTCCTATTCCTTCTTTCTTCTCTAAAAATACTTAATTATCTTTCTTAGATATTCTAGCTATAGTTAGTATTTCTTAATATTAAAGAGATAATTAAGATTTAGATTATTAGATTATATCTCTTTAAGAATAATTAGACTCTTAAGTAGTTTTATAATATTAATAATCTCTAATAAACTATATCTAAAGCTTAAAAGACTATAATTATTAATATTATTAATTTCTCTAATAACTTTATATAATTTATCTAAATTAAACTTAAAAAAGATAAACTTCTTAACTTTATTAAAGAGTTATCTATTCTTCTTATTAGATATTATAGAAATAAGAAAGGATGATATCTCTTTAGTCTTAGATATATATATTAATATTATATAAGTATATATATATATAGATATAGGGTTATTTAATAGAGAATATACTTAAGAGTCTTAATATAGATAAGTATAAGAGATAGACTTAAGAGAGCTAGTAATAAGAGAATAGATTATTTTATATATATTTAAGATAACCTCTTAGTAATAGTCTTAAAGTATATTATTATATTAAGACTTATAGAATAGATTACTTATTATTAAGAGACTATTTATTATAATAATTTAATTATATTTATTATTATTAAATAACTTATATATTTAGACTTATAAACTTATATATATAGATATTTAGATAAGTTAACTTATTAGCTAGCTATAGGCTAAATTATAGTTAAGAGATTAAAAAGTCTAGAACTAATTCTAAGTCTTAATTAATTAAGAGATTTAAAAGTCTAGGACTAATTCTAGATCTTAAATCTATATTAAAGATAATTAATAGCTATTAGGCTTAAGAGTCTTTATAATTAGAGGATTATACTTAATTAATCTATAATAATAATTATATTCTTATTATTAGATATTATTATAATATCTTTAAAATATAGGTATTATATTTATTATATCTCTTTTAACTATATTATATTAATAGTATAACTTAGCTTATATCTAATAGGTATATTAAAAATAAATAAAATAGATAGATAGATTAATATAAGTTAGAGAAACTTAATTAAGTAGATCTTAACTATACTAGACTATAGAGAAAAAGATAGAGCTAGAACTTTAAAGTTATCTCTATTAAAGAGATAATATAATTTAAAGGCTATAATATAACTAAGATCTTATATTATTATAATATTACTATAGCTTAATAAGATAATAAGAATAAGATATTATTATTTAAATTATATTATAATAAGACTATTTAGTTAATAATAGAATAGCTTATTAAAGCTACTTTAAAGTATTTTAATAATAAAAAGTAATCCTACTTTAAAAAGAAGATTAAGAAGCTCTTCTTAGCTTAATATAAGAGATAACTATTAAATAATAAGACTTATTATTAATATTAATAAT